GTTTTATGTGCATTTTACTTTAGCCACATTTGTTATAGGAAACCGATACTGAGAGAAATACAAGGGTTGCCATTGCTGATCGCCTTCTATAGATGCTTATTGCATGGTTGTCTCTGCCTTCAATACAAGGAAACACTGATCTGGAAAAAGCATGTGCATCAGTGAAGTCAGAACTAAATCTGCTTGTTCAGAGACAATAAGGTTGATTTACTGAAGGCAAGTAGGTTGTTCACTTTGCAAGGGAATTTGCACTTTGCAGAAGTCTTTCTGGGCTTTTTGCATATGGTGAAATTTCACTTTGCAAAGAATACCCAATCACGTGCTAGGAAAATAAAAAACAGTACTGTTGTTTGCTCATGATTGATGATAGAAGTCAGCAGAACTTCACCTCATTCACTAAACTAAGGGGAAACTTCTAAATTCTCTTGCGAAATGAACAGCCTATTTGCCTTCAGTAAATCAATCTCAGTGGCTTAAAAAGTACTCAATATACTAATCAGCAAGACAGCCAGGAAACGAGTATTTCAGGAGAGGTCAGTAATGGAAGCCTCTCTTCTGCCATACAACAGTTTCATTAGGAAAATCTATGAACCGTGTGCTTATCTGCCTATCCATACCTTGCAGTTTCCCAAATGTAGGTTAGCCTCCCCTCAGTACAACAAAGATAACATTTGATGAATTTTTACAATGAACAGCCAAAACAATCCTTCCACAACTTGACGAACCCAATAATTCAGCATCATAATGCACATAAAATCCAGTTCTGAGAATGTTATCTAATTCATACTATTTGGCCATACTTTCACAGCCGTAAGATTATTACCTCCAAGAGGAACCTCCAGCAGAACTACAGTTCGTATAAGTACAGCTTCAACTGATGTCATATATTGCGCATCATTATAGGATGAATGCAGTTCCTTATGACTCACGCTACATATAATGCTGTTCATCTATCCTTCTGATAGCAGAGCGTGCACTGTACTGGGCTAGAACTAACTAATGCTCTATACACAATTACAAAATGTAGTGCATATATACAGGTAAAGACTGGGGTGGGGTCCTTGTGCCTAGCACCTCCCTCCCCACTCTCCAGGTATGCCCCAGCCCCACAAAAGTGGGCATAAACACTGCTACCAGTGAGGACAAAGTACATCATTACTTACAAACTGGCTGGAAAGTCTAAGTTACTGTAATTTTTTCTTACAAGACTGCACTTATCCTTTAAGTAACGAGAATGTGAACCTGTGAGGATAGAAATATAGGGGACTTTTTTTAAGGTGCAAGCTCCAGAGTTGTTATCCTCATCCTTATTTCACTAACTTGTGAGCTATGTACCTGCAACACGTCTTCAGCCAACAAAGTCTGAGAACACTTGCCGTGCACACATTTTTTTTTAACCACATAGTAAAGCCAGGATCAGGATGACAATGACAGAGTTTAAAAGAAAAGTGGCAGGTCCAATTGCTGTAGGAATGTACGGTATATAACATGCATTGAGATTTATGTTAATAGTAGTTAAACTTTTCAGACAAATAGGTGCAAGGTGCACAAAAAAGGCAAACTGATCTGTTTAGATGAAAAAAGAAAAGTTATGTTAGACTACAATTTAGATATATGTAGGTCAGCAGACTAAGGTATACCTATTCTAGGTGCTGACTGCCAGACAGTTGGCATCATTAACATTTGTATAGTTTACATACAAACCACAGCTACACAGGAAAACCCCTACTTCAGCTTTCATCCAAAAAGAACAATTCCTGAAGCATTGGCCACCCAAACCTGTACACAGGTATGTGAAACAGTGAATGTTTCCCGTTTTCCTAATCCTATATCAAAAGGTCTTGCAACTGTTTAGAGACTTAGAGCACATCTGTACCAAAACAGAACTAACATCAACCCACCCTCCCTAGCCCTCCTGAGGTCATCTACACTGAAATCCCCCACTCCAGCTGCTTATGTTCCTCAGTAGCACAGTTATGGCCTACTCTGAAGTTTACAAGCGTGTCAGGCAGAAATAATTTTTAACGCTGGCAGCACCTGCCCTGTAAGTCCTCATAGACTTGCATAGAGCCATACTCTGAGGGTCTCCAGCCTGTCAGGCATATACTCTTTTCAGGACTGGAGCACCTGCACCATGAGTGCTCATAGACATGCACAGAGCCATACTCCGAGCGCCTCCAGCCTGTTGGACAGAAATCCTTTTCAGGTCTGGAGCACCTGCACAGTAAGCCCACATAGATATGTACAGCCATACTGCGAGCATCTTTAGTCTAAAACTACAGCACTATTCGAGGCTATGAGTGCCAACTGGCCAGGCAAGGACACCCTCAGGAGCACTGAAGCCAAAGAGAGGCTGTATATATTCAAGCAAGTTGTGGCTCTGCTACTGAGGTAAGCAGCTGGAGTAGAGGGGTTAGTGCAGATCAGTTCAGAAAGGCTAGGGAGGGTAGGTAAACATTAGTTTTTTTCAAGGTACAGCTGTAATTTCACAAGAAATTAAGTCTCACTATGAGACAATTATAAAAACATAAACAACCCAACGTCTTGGGGATGCACATGTGCATGTTTTAAATTAGGAGTGTTCCATTGGCTAGTAGGCAGCTAAGTGTTCAGGCAGACCATTCAAAAGAAACGCACTAAAAGGGACATCGAATTAGAAATTAACAATTTTTTATAACGCAGCGTTCCACAACACATGGCAAGGCGTTACTCTGTGTTGTGTGCTACGATGCATGTGTGTTGGAGGTGTATTGCCTTAGTATGTTGGGTGCCACTGAGCATGAATAGCACATCAACTCGCTAACACGTGTATGGTGCATTGCCCTGCTTTGCAGTAACGCACATATTATTTGAACACGCTGCAATGGCAGGTCTTCCCCACTTTAAATTACAGATGAGAAGAAAAGACATATAAATGAAAGTTCATAATGTGTGCTAACATAGTTACATAGTTACATAGTATTTGAGGTTGAATAAAGACATTAGTCCATCAAGTCCAACCTAACATGCAAAAGAGTGTGTGAAAATGCACAATATATGTGAATTGTAAAATACGTTACTGTATTCACACAGGTGAAATGATTTTTAACGCACATAGAGATGCAATTTCATATGCAAACTGTCTTACTCAGTTCTTAATTCCTAGAAACCAGAATTTATCTTGTACTGGTCTAGTTCCAAACAATAATTAGCCATTAGGAATTAAGAAATCTTTTTGAAAATAGAATTAAAATAAATAGCTGCAGTGTTCATATACTTGACAAATCCTGGACTTCCAAGCAGTAATGCCATGTTGCATAACTTCTTGGATACCTATAGGATTAGAGCACTTGACCTTAGGTGGATATAATAGGATAAATAAAAATCAGCAAGAGATGCTTAACATGCAAACATAAAGACATACAATTGGCCTGTCAGAGATTGCATTACACAGTACAGGGTTACTGGACAAATGGTAAATAGCACCAATATCTTGCACAAAGCCTTTCCTAACATTAGTTCTATATTATTCCAAACAGAATGACTATTAATGACTCATTTAAAGTGACACTAAACTCAGGAGTTCAATCTTAAAAATACATTCAAGTACCTTAACTATACAAAATATACATTATTTGTGTATCACTCGGCTGTAGATCCTGAAATAATGTATGCTTGGTGCTGACATTGTCCTTTCTTCTGGAGGGTGGCTACTTTTGTTCCCCATGGTCCCTGTGTGTGTTGTAAAGTAGCCACCGCTCCCAGCTCACTCCTGTGATGGACTACAATCTCAGGGTTGGTTTACTAATTTGTATTGAGATTGTAGTCCATCACGGGAGCGAACTTGGAGCGGTGGCTACTTTACAGCACACACAAGGACCCCTTGGTACTTCAATGCATTTTGAAGATTTACCTCCTGAGCTTAGTGTCACTTTAAATGAGTATCAATCACTGACCCAATAAAAGACATAATCTTAAAAATACAAACTTGAAGTTGCAAATCATAGTCTCTACTAATGGAAGGTAATTAATAAACGAGAAAAGGAGCACCAGTCAGAGCATCAGCAGCTTCTTTTGTTCCACTAACTTGTGTCTGCTAATGCGCATAAGTCTTGATGGTAGCTTTGCCATGTCCATGTTAAACAGAAAATCGTGGAGTTTTTTTAATCATTTGATTATTTTCGGTGTGCCAATATTAATTAAATGAGGAAAATAATTTTGCCATCATGATATTCTGATCATCCAATTGAGGAGGATTGTGTAGCTGAGGTTCTTATATCACTTTATAAGCAGAATATGCCACTGTGCTTTAATGTCAGCAATATGTGGGTATTAGAAGATCAGCCAAAGATGACTCTACAATCTGTGGAGCAGACAAAAAAGTTGCTCTTTACAATTTAGACCTACTTCACTTAGTGCAAATTAAACTAACTTTTAAGTGTTGCCTATAGCAAAAATGCAGATACCAGCTTTCCATTTTTGTAAGCAATGGTTAGACGGTCACACCAATATGTGAGTGCTGGATATTACCACTGTTGCTCCAGGTTAAATGAGACCTTCTCTGTAAAGATGGGGACAATAACTTTGGTAAACCATATGACTGCCATAACATTCTTACTACTTATATTGTAATACTGGCGATCCTTCATAGTTTTAATACCAAAAATAAAAAAAAGTAAACTTTAGTGCAAACCAAAGATTTTACAAATATACTCAATTTCCTCCTTCACTATAGGAGAAAATGTCACTGCTAATTCTTACCAATGATCTGCAGGTGAAACAGGGCCATTTTCTCAGCAGTTATCTCTACATGACATATTAAAGCTTCAGATTTGCAAATGTCATATCATAAATATGCAATATCTGTAGAAACACAGGCTGATACATTGCCCATAGTTTAAATAAAGAAAAGGAGTTTGTCAAATATATACATTATATATACTCATATCTCCATATATACAGTTACAAAAATGTATATACACTATTATACATATCATATAATAATCTCGTCATGTGGAAAAAAAAAATCCCTTAACATGATAATTACACTTTCACCCTTGCATCCGTGTCATGATATTTTGTGGCAAGGTAAGGGTTACACACTGGGAATGGGTGCTGGTTGTTTTGGCCCATTGATCACAGTGTATTGTACTGTATTGCAGTAGCACCTTGCAATGATGTAGCTGGGTGCATCCATTTTAGCTTAAAGAATGCCGTCATGTTTATAGCCATTGGCAAAAATCCGAGGTTACTTGCATAGCCTTCATAAATCGAAAGACATCCATTATCATTGCTGTAAGCTATTTCCTGTAGCCTCGTCTTGGTGGAGAATTTCTGTCAAAGCAGCTTGCAATTACAACCCCTTGTGTCCTTTGGTTTTTGAAGATTTCATTATCTATGTCCAGGAGTCATTGTCTTCCACTCTTGGTATTGACCTATGAACAACACAAGACTTATTACATCAGAGGTCTAATATATGGAACATAAAATAGCATAGATACAGACAATCCAAGATGATCCAGGTAAAAAAAAACACTGATCGTCCCTACTTGAGAAGTGGCTGTAGACAAGTAGATTGTCTCTTCAATCATGGTCTTGGTTAATCTGGTGAGAATCATACTTAAAAAGGCCCAGGTCTAGTAGTAACCTCTGAACTAGTTCTAGTTTACGTTTTTTTATATACCAATAACAGCATTCATGGCTTTTAATGCCACATTGCCCTTTTACTGCCATCAGTATAAGAAATAGCAAGCAGGAAGAACATTTTTAAAAAAAAAGCAGGAACACAGACAGGAAAGGTTTACTGCAAAGGTTGGTTTAGATAACATAAGACAGATATAGTTTTCATAAACTAATTATAGGCCACAGGCATATTATGAATAATTTGCCTTTCTTTGTACGTGGAAAAAAGTGACTCCAGTAATCCAGTGGAAGTCATATAAGAGGACTCTCCACCAGTGTCATCTTACAATATGTATCCTCCATATGATCTGGACTTGTGGCTGGTTTTCTGGGTATCCAGAGCTCTTACATCTATCCATAAGTTTATATGGCATTTTCAATTAAAGGGACAACCGTTTAGTGATGGAAAAGGAAATCAAATGTCAAATACATTCTCAATGAAATAAATAACAGGATCTGAAATGGGAAATTATATCGTACTTAGCTTTGTACAATGTACATAAGACACCTATAGCCCCATCCACTTTTTACTCATCAGACATACAGTCTAATGGCCTCAGCTAGAACAACTCTTTGTAAACTTAGCAAGTGACCAGAGCAATTCATATGCAGTAGAGTGATCAAAGTGAGTTCAGACACCAATTTACAATGATAGACTCTCAGATTTCTGAGACTAATGAGGCAAGCACAGTAGGTGGCACTGCTACAGAGTATGGGCTATGAAAAGTACCCAAGTGAGAAAAAATGTGCTCCTGCCTTAGGGCTTGAAATCAAGAATAGTTGCTAAGTGTGAGGAACAAAGCTAAATCAAACAGGGTACACCATTGTCCACAAAATAAGCCAACTATCCTTCTCATAATGGTTGGTATGCATCTATGCTTCCAGTACCAAACGTTGGTTGTCCTGCTGTCCTCCTATGCCATTCTGAAGCAGGTTTGCTATGTGCTGGCACCTTACAGGATCCTACAGTTATGTTTTTCCTGCAAAGCTTTAAAGTGTAATTATAGGCAAAACCTTTTTTTTATTTTATTTGCACTGGAGACAACTGTCCCCGAGAATGAAAGTGAGGGAATAGCCAAAATGTTAAAATTATCCCATTAACAAGGTTAGAGGAATCTTCCAATGGGCACACCTCTTCTGGAGGTGTGTGTCTAAGAAAACTAGAATAATTTTGGCTATACATATTGTTGAACTTTCTCTCTTTCTGTTTTTGATCATCTATATTGATTATAAATAATATTCACTGTTCCTAATAAGGATTTCTTTATAATAATAGCAGGCATCAGATACTATACGCATTGTGATATAGAATTAAATATACTCTTATAATACTGTAAGATGCAGAAAGTACTGAAACCAGAGGGTCATAATAACAGTCAGGCAGCTGCTCTTTTAAGAAGGGCAGCAATATTACTCTAAGTTTGACTTTAACTCAAAATATGAGCTTGCTCTAAATGCAGTATGGTTTCTCTTTAATTCTACTACCTAGTGCTGTTATCCATGAACAATCACTCATGACAAGCTGTTTGTGTACGTCATGCAATGTTAACTTTTGTAGACATGGACAGCAGATAACCTATGTGGAAAAACTAGAGGAAATCAACATGGGGGTGTCTGTTGCTTGCATTACATCTGACATTTTCTTGCGTGGACTAGCAAATGGAAAGAAGGGTGCACATTTCTTTTCTCCAAGTGTTTTTTAGGCCACCCGCCCAGTGATAAACTATTCCACTATCTGTCCATGCTGTCCATATTGTACAGCATAACTACTGAAAAGAAAATGAGCACAACATTTCCCCTTTCAATCAATCAAACTTCTTTTATCATTTTAGCATAAAACCCGAAACTTGGCAACAACTTTATTTTGTGCTCATTTTATTATAGTTTTGATGATTCAGCTGCACAGGCTGAGCTGTAAGCAACCAATTTTTGACACACAAAAAAGCTAACACAACATTCATGGATAGGAAACATGACATTATATAAATAATGTTTATGACTGGCAAGGTTATGTAAACCCAGCGATTTTCTTTGGCCAAATTCTGTGAACATTATTCTTATGTCTCCAGATAGGACTAGACAAAGCACATTATTTCTTTTAGATAGCAAATGTGTCATAAAGTCCCATATGCCAGTGATGAATTTACCTTATCAGACTTTCACAGAAGCTGATGGCAATGTGAGTTGACTCACCCTAAATAAAGGACACGCATCAAATGTTATTTTTAAGAAAAACAACAGGACAGCGTGAAATGTCAGGATTTTGGTATCTGATGAATACCGTGCCACATTGTCAATAAAAAAGCTCAGGCTTCGCCTCACTGGCAGCATGTAGGATTCTTCCATTGATTTAGAACTACTACATTGAAAAGATCAATGTTCTGGGACAAAGTGGTTTAAAAAGGTAACAAGCAGAAGAATTTGTGCTACATATAAAGCACTTTTCAATTTTATGGCAAGTACCACAATGCAAACATTTTTTTGCTTTATCCTCCATACTGTGTATCATCATTTTCAACCTATATATACAATCAGCATAGAGCAGGTTCCTTAAATTGCACTTGCAAATCTGCGATTAATCCATACTGTTTATTCCTTTTTTTTAAATTTCTATTTATTGAAATGTATCATTCTTGTTTATATTTAAAACCCAAGTAAAAAGTAACATTTTATATGGGGGGCAGCCATAGTACAAGATTCACAGAGCAGTGTTGGTTTTCCTATTAGAGAGCACAGCAAAAGCTGTTTACCTTCAGGCCCTCTCCCTGCAACTACCGATGGCCCCATCTGAACAGACTAGGCAGAAAATTGAAAGAAGATCATTTTCTTGTACCTCATTTGAGGCCTGAGCTACTGAGCTCTGCAAATATGCACTTTGCAGCTAAACAAATGAGGCTAGTATGGCAAACATGGGAAACTGAGCCTAGGGCTCCGCCCAATGGACACAAATGAACATATGAATTATTCATATGCAATATTTAAACTTTTTACAATATATGTTTTCTTAAAGAAGAACTCTGGGCAGTTACAAAATTAACCCTTACAGTGAGGCTACCCCTGCACCGCAGGGGTTAAGGGCTTGTTTTGGTCTAGGGTCTAAAATAAAAAAGATATATACTCACTTGCCTACAGCCTCTCTCCCCCACTGCTCTGGCAGTCTAAGGATCCATAAGTCATCACATCTAATACTGTGTATAGAGTGTATTGGATGTGAGGATGCCAATGCACATTCTATCGCCGAAGTAGAGAGCTGAGCGGTCTCTGCCACAGGATTCAGGCTCCAGTGAGTACATCTTCTTTCTTTTAGCCCCACTGCAAGGGTTAATTTTGGAAGTGCCCAGAGTTCTTGTTTAATAAACCACTAGAGTAGGAGTTTGGTCTCAGCAAGAGAAAATGTTTATGCCATATCTTGGTGCTCACTTCGCAGGGCAGTTTTCTTTTTTTACAATAAATGTACATATTTAACTGGAAAGCTACCCTCATCAGGATATCGATTTACTGTTGGAGCAAATTGACTTGCTTGAACATCAGTGTTATGTGGTCCTTTTATCTTTTTTTGGTGACACTTGCAGTAATCAACTCTGTGACTTTTATGGTTTCAGGTTTTCTGCAAAGTGGATGTATAGACAGTAACTGAACCCTTATCAACCAGAGGAGGAAGCCAGTCTCTCCGGCAATTGTTCCAAACATCTTGTAAAGATGCGCTGTTTGCGTGTACCCACATTCTATTCAGACTTAGCTGTACCCTTTGACAATACAATTTCTCAGGGTCTTTGTGAATCCTACAAATAAGGAAAAGGAAGGAACACTAAACTACCCCTTTTCATCCTGGCAGAGGAAGAAACTTTTTTCTATTGCTTGCTTTGAAAATAAATATGAAGGTACAGTGCAGGAATAGTATTTTTCTCTTTTGGGAATTCCAAATCTTCTCTGAGATTTCCTGAGAGTGAGAGCAGTTTATTTTAACTTCTCATCCGCCTATTCATTCCCAGAAAGACCTATTTTTTTTAGAAAGGATTCCCTTACAATAAAGTCATTATTTCTGCCAGCCAGAGTTCTCGGAATTACAGGATATTAGGTGTAAAACACTTGAGTGGGTTATTTAATGATATACTGTTATCATAAGTCTCTAAGTGTGGGTAGGCCATGTCTGCATTGGTATATTAAGGGTATAATACTGTGATTTCTAAGATATTCAATTAAGCACACCTCACGGTGTCACGACTCGGGGCATTAGGCTGTATAAGTAAAACAAATTCTAGAAAACACAAAAAACTCAAGGTGATTGTAACTGTATTAAAACACAGTACTCTCTGCAGTCCGTTTTTTATTTGCACTAAGTTACATTTTCAGGACAAGTTTTCAGGGTGTTCCCTTCTCCTTGGTCCAAGCACTACTGCTTGGACCAAGAATATGGAAACAGCCCGAAAGCTTGTCCTGAAAGTTTTAATGTTTGAGCAGATCTGTTAGCCTTGTGGTAAACTCAAGCCAATTCGTAAGGGAAACCCTTATAGAGAAAGTGTAGCGGCAGCCATTGTAGCTTCTCCATCAAAGAATGGTTACAGTAAATCCATAACCCAGACCCAACATGCAGATTAGGAGTTCTGACTTTACTCTAACTTTCTAAATCAGTATGTTTGTTCCTGGTCCGTGAAACCAGAGGCAGCCAGGAAACTAGCATTTTCAAATGGTCATAAATAGTAGCATCTATATTTCTGTCACCAAAGGTTTTGTTTAAATACATTGAAGAATT